CGTCACTGTAGAATTATATCTAATAATTCACTAACATTAAAAGTATAATAAGTATAGTAAATAGTATATATAATATATATAATAATATAATAATATAATATATAATATATATAGTATAAATAGTAGTATAATTAGTAAGTATAACTACCATTTAAAAATAATTATAATAGTTTATAATAATAGTAACTATTATTATGCTATGTTAATAATAATATATAATATAAATATATATTTAAAAATAATAATATAGTTAATTAAAAATAAGAAAACAATTTATATAAATTATTAAAAAGTATTCAAAATTTTAAAAGTTTCTAGTTTATAATATTAAGAATAAGAATAAGAATAAGAAATTAGTCAAGAATTTAGTCAATATAGGTCTAATCTTCAATCCTCTAATATAAAATTGATATTTATTATTTATGAACCAAATATATTTATTCAATATTTAATAAATATTTTTTCTTAACAAGGAATTAGTTTAGGAATATACTATACAATGCAAAATTATTATCAATATCGACAAAGATTATTTCATAAATGCAAATAATATTTTTTGTATAGTAAATGTTTTATATATTTTTGTTACAATTTACATGTAAAATTTACATTTATAGATAATAAACTGATATATATTTATATTTATTAATATATATTATAGATATATATTTTCAAATACTTCTTCCAAACCTCATGTTATACAACACATTGCATGACGACACGAGAAATATTTATCTTCTATACTAAATTTGAATTAAATAATATTTATTACTGAAATTTTAATATTAAATTTGATTTATGTGGATAACTTTCTACATTTAGAGAAATTGAAAATCATATTATTATCATGAAATTTGAGAAATTTATATTTATAAATTTATATTTAAAAAATGAATAGCTTTCTTCATGTTTCTTTACATTTTTTAATTTCAATATTAGATTGGCTTTAATTTTTAACTAATATATTAAAATAGTATATATCAAATAACTTAAAATAATGTGAAATTGTAACATAATTTCTTTTTTTTTATCGGATTTACATTATTATGATTTTCAGCCTTCCATTTCTTTTTGTCTATGAAATAATCTTTGTCAATATTAGAAATAATGTGTTAATAAATTCTTTTTCTAAACGAATTTCTCTATTTACATTTCATATTTTATAAAGAAATCACAATATTGAATATTTATAAAAAATAAAAGTTTATTTTAAAAAGAAATTTTTAGAAATCTATTTTAATATTTATTTTAATATTTTTTATTTTTTCTTCAATGAATATTTTAAAGTTCTTAAAATTTTTAAAGCGTTTGAGTCTTTTTTTTAAATAGTCAAATTTAAAAGGAAGTAACAACTCTCCAAATATTTTATTAAATAAAATAATATACACATACTATTTATGTATTACATGTTCCATTATAAATATGAAAATCATAAGAAAATTAGAAACTCGTAATTTCTTTCATATGTATTGCAATTTTTTCATCAGATTATTATTATTTATGTATTTCTATATATAAATTATCCAAGAAGTTGTTCAAAATAAATTTTCAATTTAAAATTTACAATTTAAAATTGAAATCGTGTCTTACAACCAATCGATGATTATCTCATGGAGATAAGCTTTCTCGAAAGTGAAATTATCTATCATTCAAACTTGCAACAAGGTCTTGTCTTTTCGTTTCAGTTGTAGTTAGCTGAAACTTTGCATGCATTTTGAAGTTAAGAAGCATCGTTGGGAAGAAAAAGCGATTCGTTTGATTTTTCGCCCGAAAGAAACTTGAAAGATGTTTGAAGAACTTCTTAAACGCGAATCTTGTAACTTTCTCGTTTTTCTTAATGGTTAGACGAAGAGATTATTTTACATCATTTAAAATGACAATCACTGCTGATTATAATATTTAAATTGACTACTAATTATAATCTATTATTTTTCAAAATTAGTAATCTAGTTTATATTTATAATTAAATTAGTAATTAGTTTATATTTTATATTAAATAATTTTTTAAATGATTAAAATTATAATATATCTTTAATCGTGATATCGATTAGATTTATTATTTATAGGAAAGTTATATAAATTTCATAATTGTGTTTATCACAGTTTTATTATAGAATTTTTAAAATAAATTCAATAAATCAAATATCAATTTATAAAATAAAATTTTAATTAATTTAATTAATTAATAATCATATTTTATCATATTTTTTACAATATTAATTTTAAAATTAACACCGAAATATACTTATTAACTAATTGATAATCCTATTAAAATATAAATTAAAAAATGTATTGAAAAATTTTCATTATTCAAATTCAAATTTTTATTATTTCTTTCTTGTTCTCTTTTTCTTCTATTACGCATATTATATGTATTATATAATTATATAATTATATGTATATATAATATTATATATATATCAACATAATATCCTATATACATATATCCTATAATTTTAAAAGTTGTTTACCTCGAGATCAGCTTTTTTTACGGTTAATTCATCTTGTAATTGCAGAACCTCTTCTTCGGCTTTTAATCTACCACGACGTTCTCTTGAGATTTCGCTTAAATGTATATCGATATTTTCTTGTAATTCAGATATTTTCTGAGTTGCAATGCTGGTCCTGTTTTCTAATTCGTCTGTATATAAAGTCATATTTTTCAACCGTTCCTTTAATGTTTCCACCTCGCTTATCAATCTTTCTTTTTCTAATATCAGATTCTCTTTTTGTTTTGCTATACTGGTACTGCAAATAGGTGAATATTTAAATAGATAAGATAATAATTTATTTATATTAAAATTTTAATATAAATAAAAAAGAATATAAATAATATTGAAGGAATTTTTAAGATTCTGAAGAAGATCAAAATTGTTTGTAACTTCAAAGTATGAAATTTAGAATATAAAATTATCATTTAAATTATCATTAAAATATAGAATTAGCTATTTTATAAGATTCTTTGTATAATGATCAAAAAATCTTCTTTTTGCTGCATTTTATAAATTTTAATATTGAATTATAAAATATGCACATGAAAAATTTTATTAAATTTTATATTTATTAATATTGTTATTTATTTATGTTGAAAGTTATCATAATTATCAAGTAATCAATATGATATTCAACGTTTATCAATATATTATTTACGTATTATTCAGCATTTAATTTTTTTGTTTTTTTCAGTTTCTCTATATATTTTTAAAATATTTTTCTATTTTACTATTTCAATATTTATATATTTAAAAACCATTTGTAATTTTATCTCCATATATTATTATCTCCATATATTATATATTATTAAATAATATATTATTATTTAATATTTATCTATGGTATGGTATTATTTTGTATATAGTTATACATTTTATAATATCTAATGAAGAAATAATCAAAATAGAAAAAATTATTATCTTTTCAACATTTTTCGTATTTCTAATAAAATTTAAAAAAAGCAAAATTTAATTACAAATTTTATCAATTATTAATATATATTATATGTATATATAAATAATTTATATATAATAATACATAATACTTATTATTTTTTATATATTCTATTGATATAAATTCAATTGAAAATGCCAAAGTTATTTATTATTTACATATACCATCAATCATCACTTAAGAGTCCATTTAAAGAAATAAATTTTGAATATTTAAGAATATGATTTAAAAATAAAGAATATGATAAAATATTACATTTGGAGTTACAATGAAACAAATTATTAATATATACGTACATATATAGTATATTAGTAATTAATAAAAGTAGTAATTAATAGAATTTAATGTTTAATGAAAATTATTATTAAATATCTTCCAAATTATAAATTTTATTAAAAATACAAAAAATGTAGAAAATTCTAAATAATCCTAATTTTGCAAGAGGATTGTATATTTATATATATATAAATACAAAAGTGAAATAATAAAAACAAAAAAGAAGACTATTTGATATTAGGATTCAATCTATTTATATCTATTTTAAGCACTTATTAAAATTATCACTTGAGATGAATAATATCAATCGATTATTTTAGATCTTTGCGAAAAACTTGGTTGGAAGTTAAAGACACAATCCTCGCCTGTCTTGACATGAATAAGAAAAAATTATGAATAAGAGGAATAGAACATAACATCTTTATGGAAATATTATGCCACAAAATATAGTCTCGTTGGAAAGAAATTGCATTTTAACTGTGTTGACTAAATCGAGACTCTCGGGCATTGAACACGTTCGTCCTTGGGGATTAGATTCGGGACATCCATGTGGCTTCAACGTGATCACGATGTACATACACTAGAAGTAGCATCTTGATGACCTTGTTTGCTGTGGTCGTGTCATGCTTACTAGATAAACTAATATAATTCAAGAGTATATTTATATTATATACTTTTGAAAAATTTTCATTAAAAAATTATTTTCTCTCGTAATTTTTCTTTCTTTTTTATTTTTTAGTGAAATTTTTTTAAATTTATTAAATTTAAAATATATAAATTTAAAATATTTAAATTAAAAAAAATATTTAATTAAAAAAAAAAATATTTAAATTTTTTAAATTAATCTTAAAAATACTTTTTTATGACTAATCTTTTTCTATGATAATTTTTTTAATAAATATAGTTTTATAAGTATAGACAGAAAACTTGAAACTGTTTAAAAGACACAATGATTAAAGGTCAATTCAAACTCTAGATAAAATAATTTCTATTTGAAAAAATAAAAGTAAATATTTTTAAAATCTATTTGTTTCGTATTTATTGAATTAGTTTTCTAATAGTTGAATTAGTTTAATTAAAAAAAAAAAACTGTCATTAATTTTCTAATATAATTTTTTATCACTTTTTAGAAAAAAATTAAGATCGATTAACTACATTTATTTCTTTTTTTAATTCTTAATTAATTTTTTAATTTTTAAAATAATTTTTTATTTTTTTAAATTGTCTTTTATTCTAAAAAATTTTAATAGTAATTCAATAAAAAAAATTGTTAATAAAAATCTTCTTTTTTATGTTTGTTTTTCTAATAAATATAAATTATATTTTCGTAATGTAAATATAATTATACCGAGGAATTATATTTGCGAAGTTGCATCTATTAAATTTTGATTTCCAACTTATCAAAATAAGTACCTCTAAAATATTCAAAAGCAATAAGCAGCAAGCATACATTATACATTCCCTAAGGTTCGATTTTGTTTGCATCGTCGGTAAACATGCATGCTCACATCCGGAGAAGTATCGATTCATCGATAACATTGAATCGAATTAATCTGAAATGTTGATGGAAATAATCCTCAATCTCTTCAAAAACTCCACGAAAGATTTTCAGAACAATCGAAAATTTTGCTTATGAATGTATCCTTGGATATCTATCCATTAGATCTTAGATTGGACAAATTTTCTCAGAAAAATAACATTATTAACATAACATTATTTTTCAAAATTAAATTCTTTTATATATTTAATATAATTTTAAGTAAAAAGAGGAGAATTGAAAGATTAAAGATCATTAGAGCAATAAATAATAGAAAAATCATATACACGTTTAAAATATTGAATAATCAATGATCGTCAAGATAATTCCAAACAGGATTAAGAATTTTTTATTTAAAATAAAAATAGAAAAAATAAATATTACTTCAAGTAAAACAATTCAAATAAAATGAAACATATATATTATTACATATATATTATATATTATATTATATATATTA